TGCAGAACAAAGGCAATGAGGTAGACGTCAGCTTGCTATTTTGCCCCAGCAAAGCGGTGTCTATGATCAGTTCATTGAAATCTATTGTTTGACACAAACAAAGTTTAAGAATCTATGATTAAATCCCAATGCCAAGAAGCGATTGTTGATGATAATACATCAAAAGCCAGCCGTGTCGAAGACAGCAATTCTGCTTCCGATACGGCTACGATACGGTTGCCACGGCGTCACTAACCAAATTGTCAACTGACCCACAAACTACCCCAGGCCCCCCCCTCCCCACCACCAACCCCGCGACCCAGAGCGGTCGGCTGCACGATGCTCGGCGCGGCGGGAAGCCCTGCGGCGCCCATCAGCCGCTGCAGGTGTGGCGAGACGCCCACGGGCGAGCGTGCCCAAATGGCGCCATCGGCATCGTTCACTCGAATCGCGCGTGACAATGCCAACTCTGTGGATTTAATGAACCGCAGGGCTGGCGGTGACGGCCAGCGCGGTGGGGCCGGCGACGTGCGAGCGGCGGGATTCATGGCCCCCGGCGCGCCGCTGCTAAAGACGCGGCCCGGCGGGCGGCGCGAGCCTCCGGCGGTGGCGGGGGTCGAGGCCATGGCGAGGCCGCTGCCGCGGAGGGCGGGCAGGCGGCAGCAGCAGCGGCGCCCGCGAAAGCCCGTCCCTCCCGCCCAGAGTGAGAACTTGGGGGATGGGGGGCTTGGGAAAGGTGTGTTGGTGGTGGATGGGAGACGTCGCAAAGCTGGCGCCAGGCTCCCGTTGTCGCGAGACGAAAATGGGCATTTGTGAATGATTGAGGCCCGCCGAGCAGCGCGGCGAAAGACGGCGGTCTTCTCGCGCGCCTCGGGGGTAATGGCATGAGCCACGAGCTGTGTGGTGCTTGGCTGATGTTCACCCGGGCCAGCCGATCGCAGAAAGGCAGGTGGGCCTCCGGCCCTGCGAGGAGGTTGCCGGCACATCCAAGCGGTTGCGAGCCGTTTTCTCAGAAGACAACCCCATCCTGTCAACCAGTTGAAAGCTGTCGCCCTGGGGTTTCAAGGGACACCTTGCTGCGATGCTGCTGGCAAGCTGGATAAAGGAGGGAGTTTCTTCGCATAGTGTTGATGACAACTCTGCTCCCTCAGATTAATGCTTTTCTGCCAATGCAATCACTCAGCTTGGAGAGTGTGTGTGACTCCCGAACTGTGCCAGAGGTGGTTACTGCATTCGTGAAGTATCTGACAAGGGGGAACAGCATATGGGCTGCACAAGCTCCCATTTTTGACATTGCATGCAATCGCATTGATGATAGTGCATTTGTAATCGCAAGGAAATGAAAGAAACCAAGCAGCTGTTAGTCAATCATGAGATTATCTCGTGCATCTGTGCAGGTTCTGTTGCCATGAACTCATGATGAGTGTGCCAGTCCAAAGCGTTGCTAATGTGCTTGTAATACCCAAAATCCCGACCCCAACTTGGCACCTGCTCCTGGTCCAAAGGAGGACGAGAATTCTCACCAGATTCTTTCCAATAAAGGCGCCATGGGCGTTTCACCTGTTTTCCTGCCAAGGTGATGCAGAGCTTTTTCAACAACGGAAGGAGTGCCCTTGCTTCATTCTTGTGTGGTGTCATGTAACAGCTTGCTCAATAATCATGTCACCATTCTGCTGTTCAACCATGTACTAATTTCACTCTTGTGTGGCCGAAGGAAAGGGAAACAAAGAGGAGCTATCACCAAAAATCACAGGATTGCCAACCGGGTTGAGTGTCACGTGGCTGGGAACCTCGTCTGGCGCCCCCACCACGACCAGGAATGTATCCAGCATCGCATGCCGCTTCCACCATGCAACATACCTGGTAGATTGTGGAGAGGGCACACAGACACAGCTCATCAAATCGGACATCTATCCTGGGCATATCAAGCGGTGAGGTTGTCAGGGCCAGGTTCTCAAACAGGTTGGCAAGCCACTGCCTGACATCGCTCGATCGGTGCAAAATCTGATATTTGCCTGTCACTCAACGTTATATGTAGTATATCTGAAGCTCTGCAGAATTCCCAGTTTATCTTTTGTTGCTCAATCCAAATTGTTGTTGAAGGGGGCTGGGGGTCACAATTGTTGTCTTTTGCCATATTGGGTTGTGCTCCTCAGCAGTGAATGAAGTGGCGCTTGGTAGCACATGGCTCAGTTTACAATCTGAATGAGTAGAACAGGTGCCAAGCTCCTAATCACCCATCGTTCCGATCAACAAGGCGAACATTGCGGGTCTTTGTGAGTTTTTGGGAAGCTGGGGAGGTGCAGCAAAGTTGTAATATGTCATGCTTGATGGCTGGTTGCCAGGTATAGCTTGCTTGTGATTGGCTTTTGACATTGGGCATGTTTTCAGGAAATCGGATTAAGTTTCAGGTTGTTTCAATATGTTAAATACAAGATTTTGCAGGAAGAACCTGGAGTACACTGAAGGTTACCTTAGAACACCTTTAAGGGATATGCTGCGTGCTCCATGGTGCCACCATCTTCCACTCCAGCACATGTTATATTGGCACAGGGTAGATTTTGTATGTTTGCGTTCATGTTTACATGGCCAATGCGATTTCTGACAGGCTTCTGCTGTTGCATTGCCTTCAGGATATTCATCACACATCTGCATGGTGACCACTGCTTTGGTTTGCCAGGCCTCCTCAACATGATCAGCACTGTCCGACAGTACTCCTGGACAGGGGAACCCGTGCATGTGTATGGGCCTCCTGGCCTTGAGGTGGGTGTCCAGTTGGTTTATCAAAAAGGATACATTGGGCATGAGGGCTGCAAGCCGGCATTTCTTTTTGTTTACCCCAGAAAACACGATTGCAGGTCTGTTTAGCAAAGATCCATGGGAAAATTCTGACTGAACAACATCATATCCTTCAAAAAGATACTTCTTGCAGGAACTGCTGTTTCTAAAGATATTCTTTGGCAACCATTGTTTTGATGTGTAGTGGCTGTTACACTTGGGTGGCACTGGATCCAATTTTTATGAGTTGCTTTTTTGATGGGCACAGATGGCTCTGCACTCGCAAGTTTGAGTGGCCAGAATATCATAGGTTATCTTGGTTTTGTGATTTCCTTTATTTTTCAAGCAACTGCATTCATCCAAGACTACTTGCAAGTGCAGAAGTCAAACAGAAAAGTATGGCAGGAAGGGCCTTTGAAAATGGCAACATGGTGTGCTATTGTTTCCAAACTCTCTAAGAGCAATGTGCCTCATTTTTCCAAGCACCTGTCTTCATCCAAGACTATTTGCAAGTGCAGAAGTCAAACAGAAAAGTATGGCAGGAAGGGCCTTTGAAAATGGCAACATGGTGTGCTTTTGTTTCCAAACCCCTAAGAACATTCCTGACTAAGCACAAGGCTGTTGAGTTTCCACATGGTGGTGAGCTCTGTGGCAGCTAAACCTGCCACCACATTATAAAGCTCTAGCTGAAGTGCGGCTACACCTTTCATTGCTTGTAAGTTGCAGGTTTTTGTTTGTTCTGTCTGATCAATGTATGCCATGGAAATCTGCAATGACTCTCTGCCTCCACACTGTGTGCGATGATGAGGACTTTTGCATCTGCTTAGTGTCAGCAAAGACTGTGATGGCGCATCAACAGAAAGAATCATCCACCCAAGCTGCTCCCAGCAAAGCTTTCGGCAGCCTGAAGTTGCTTCTGTTGTCTTGATTGCTGTGTTATTGTCTTCTTTCCCCTGGCAGGAGCTGCTGAAGATGTCGTTGCCCCATTGGTACGGTCGACTCTACATGCCAGTGCATGTGACAGAATTTACAATGGATGCAAGCTTGGCACATGAGCCACGACCTGTGGTCAAGGGTAAAAAGGGGGAGGTCACTGTCGCACGAATGGCACCCACCACTTCGCTGGTATGGTAACTTGCTCTAACAAATTGAAAACTGTGAAACAGACGATCAGGCTGTGTCGTTGTGGCATTGGAACTGAAACTACTTCAAATCAGCTCCCATCCTGCAAGTCAAGAAACTGCAGTGCTCGTACCAGTTTCAGTACAATGTTGCTAGTTTCAGGTTGATTTGGCAATGTCGTTGTAGTATGTTTCCTCATTGTGCGATCACTTGGATGCAAGCAAGTAAAGGGGCTGAAGGTACCATCATATGTCTCAGCTGTGCGAGTTTGCTGTTGAAGATGCCAAATGTATTACTGCACTCTTTTGTTGGATTGACAGAGGAGTGTGCCAAGCAGAAGATGATAGTGCACAAGAGTAGGCGGCAGTGAGCACTAGACGAATCTGCTTGCGTGATTCAGCGCTTGGACAGCATTCTCACTTTTGTAGCTGCATTGGAGAGTGGAGTAAACTGTTTGGTGCAGACATTCATGAGGTTGTTTGACAAAGGGAAAAGAACACAACGGGTTTCCCTGAGTAAGCAAGAATGTTCGCACAACATTTCCATGCAGTTGTGATGTTGTAGGGGTGTTGCAATTGTGACAGGAAAATAAAGCAGCAATGGTTGCTGCGAATACCAGGTGGTGAGCACCATGGCCACCACTGGCGATGGCAGTCGTTGCTCTGCCATTGCAGGGGGTGGACACTTGTCTTGTGCCTGGCAAGAAAAGTGTGTGACCTTTCTGTAAAAGGGTTCTGAACTGGCACTGCTTGTTGCAAACTTATGTTATTGGTGGGCTGTGACCTGTTGAATAGTGGGAATCGAATTGGCTGCATCCTGGTAAAGGCACCCTGCCTTGCCTTCCTGTTTGAATAGATGCATGCTAAACTGTTGTCACAGCCAATGGTGCACGTTTTAGGCGAAAATGCTGGGTGATGCGAAATTGTTTTCCCCACGATGTGCAGGGCCGCTTGGTCCACAGACATTTGCCGCCCTTTCAAGTGGGGAACCGGGGTCTTGGGGTGAAGCTTCGAGAGGGGGTGCTGGAGGGTCACCAGTGGGTGATACCCTGTGAGGAGGGGATAACAGTCACTGCAGCACAGGTGAGCTGCTATGTTAACATTTGCTGCTTGCAACGAGCCATGCCCAGCAACCTTGATGGTGCAGATGGGCTGTTGCTCTGCCATGCGGATGTCCCAAAACTATTGCTTGCTTTGGACCATGCCTGCCTCGATAATTTACTGGCAAGGCTGGTGAGATCCCAAACAGCAAAGTTCAAAGAATCGTATTTCAGTTGAGTCGATGCGCTTGTTTGCATATATGAGCAAGGTGGATCTCACTGTTCAACTATGCTCTGCTATCAATTCATTGGAGCAGATGGGCTGTTGCTCTGCTGCCACGGATGTCCCAGAAAGCATTGCCTTTGGATGTGCGCAACACCCATGTACCTAAATGAACTATGACAGGCTGGTGAGATCCCAAACAGCAAAGTTCAAAGAATCGTATTTCAGTTGAGTCGATGCGCTTGTTTGCATATATGAGCAAGGTGGATCTCATTGTTCAACTATGCTCTGCTATCAATTCATTGGAAAGGCGCTGATTGGAAAATCGTGGCACATATGGCTGCTAACAAGAAGGAACGTCTTGCAGGCCAACTCCAGCACTTGGAGAACATTTCAAAGTGCAAATCTGATCTGAACATGTTTGCTGGTAGTGTACTTTCGCGCACACAGCAGAAATTGCAGGTCTCCCCGAAATTGAATGCCCATCATTTCACTGCAATAAAGACTGCCTTTAACCCTTCCCAGTTGGGACAGGACAGACTTGACCTGGCAATTGACGTTTGTACACATGCTATTTGGGTGTAAGTTGACGTTGTACATTGATGTTTTGGCAAAATATGTGTCGCACAGAGGTTCCGCACATTTGAATTACCATATGTCAGCAGTGCAAATTGTTTGTGCCATGTTTCGTTTGCATTGTTTTCATGTGGTGTATGTGCTTGACAGCTGCAGCACAGGGTCCCCTGCTGGGGCTACATCATGTCAGAAGAAGAGTACATCCCTTCTGACTGGGAAGTTCAGCTGGAGAAGAAGCGACGTGAGAAGCAGCGAGCAGAGTTGCCAGACCCACCACCCGGAGTGCTCTGGGTTGATCCCGACCCAGGAACTGCGCTCCGTGTGCCGGGGAGGAAGGTAGGATGAAACCTTGTGTAAAACATTCCAATCCTGGCTGGCAAGCGAGCTCCAGAAAATGTGCCAAATTGATTCTTTTTACCCTTTTCCTAGTTCTCTGTCTTCTTGCCAGCCTGCAGCTGAGGCCATGGTGCCTGGTTGTCGAATTCCAGCTAATATGTGTGGAAGACGCCTTGTGTATTCATGTACAGGAGGCAGTGATATGCGATGCAAGCCCATCTCGTTTGTTCAACAATTGAGAGAATGTTCGTTTCAAATTGAGGGCTTTCTTATGTCAATGAGCACTGTGTCGGAGTGCCAACCACTCCCATGGAATACATGCAGGCCAGCTGCTCCTGAGTATTTTTGCTGCTTAGTGTGCAGATAACCGCCAGTGCCAGCACCAAAATGAGGGTGTTGGCGCTGTGCCCTGGGGTCTGGTAGTGAGATCTGGAGTGAATCTGCTGGCAGGTGGTTCTCCTTGGGGACACATGCAACTCTGACGCCCTTGCCCAGGCTGCATACGGTGCCGACCTCGTGTCACACGAGGCGACGTTCGCAAAGGGCATGGAGGAGAAGGCCGAGGTGGCACAGCACTCCACGGCTGTTATGGCTGGCGAGTTTGCCAGGAAGATCGGAGCCAAGCAGCTTGTCCTCACTCATTTTAGCCCCAGATATCAACAAGTAGGTGGTGGATAATGTTACCTGTAAACTGAAATGCCTTTGCCAGCTTGCCGATGGAATGAGAGGATGAAGGGAAACATGAAAGGGCCACAGATAGGAAGGAAACAGCGCTTTTGATCAGTTGTATCTCAGAAGTATGGGCATATATATGACCCTTCTTGTTGTATCTGCCAAAAGAATGCAGACAAAGGTCGCCTGTTCAGGCTCTCAGGACACATTAGGGGTGACAGTAGCCAATTGGCCAGGCCACTTGAGTTGCATTGCTAGTAGTTATTCGCCCACCCACCCACTCCATCGCCTAAACACAGGCATAACATACGCGCAATAACATACAGGCTATTGTGGTCATGTGTACCGGCACCTGGCATTCTGTGGGCCAGCAGCCCATGTATGGCTCGCCTGTGCAGCACGACGTTAAAAACCAGCAACACCAGAGTACAATTCAGATATGAGCTCACAAGTTTGCCAGTGCACTAAGTGTACAATGCTATCAGAAGGAGGGGAGGGGGCAGCCTCAACAATAACTTTAATCATTGCTGGATCTACTCCTGGTCTGCTGGGCGCTGTAATTGAGCGAATCGGGGTTTGTCGGTACTTTACAGAGCAGTGTATCTCTTGTAGCCCGTCAAGTCGTTGGCAAGACTCTTTCATTGCACCCGTTCCGCAAACGGCCGATCCGTTGTTGTGCACGTTCTTGGGGTCCTTTTGTTGGGTTGGGACTGCCGGTGGCCAAGCAAGGGCAGTCCCTGGCAATCTGTGATGCCACATTCCTGCACCAGAATGCCAGTTGTTGCAATCTCCACTTTGCTGCGCTGTTATCACCGTGGTAGATGTGTAGCCATGGCCACAGCCATTGTCCAGACAACTTGCTGCCAGCCCATCTGCACTTCTACTGGCAATGCACTTGCTACACGGTGTCCCCATCGTCGCTGGACTTTTAGCCGACAGGTGTTGCAACACATCTTCTGGTTTGATACTTTCTCGCCCTTGTGCTGCGCTGTGAGCTTCTCACAGCCCACTCTGTGTGTCTCCGTCACAGAACAGCAGCTCAGACAGCTCTACCATCAGTCGCCTTGTGGAAGAGGTGTGCACTGCCCCCGCTGCCTTGACTTGTTGCTGACGCCTTGTAACATTTGCCAGTTATGCACAGTTACTGTCCTTGTTCAAACCATCTCACAGTGGCACCCTATCCCATCAAGTTTTGCTTGTCCACATGCACATAATTTGAAGCTGTATTTATGTATATCCCACGCCATGGTGCCAGTTTGAAGCACCAGTGCACTAGAAGGAACACGGACTGGAAAGGGATGTGAGGCCCATCAGATGGCGTCAGCCTTAAAGGACCCCTTTCAGTGATAGATGATGTAGGCTATTGCAAACGAGCACCGCGGTGCAGCTCATGTTATAACGCACATGCCACAAAAGGGCACAGCGCCTCGGATGACAATGCTCGCCCCTGAGCCGACTTTGCCCCTGTTGTGGTTTGATGCGGGCAGGCGGTGCCCAACTCAATAAACTGATGGATGCACCAACGGAAAAAACAATGCTGGGATGGAATCCATCATCTTTCAGGGATACTATCTATACGGGCTGGGGGATGCTTCCACCCCACCCCACCCCCACCCCCAAAACCCTCGTCATGTTGCAGCGCGTTGTGACGTCTGTGCTTGCCCGCAGGCAAAGCAGGGCTTCAGGAGCGACAATGTGGTCGCCGCCCAGGATTTTTTCACTTTCGACGTGCCCAAACGGAGACCGAACAGAGTGTCAAGCGCCGACGAGGCAATGATATGAGAGGCGCCAGATGCGTGGCAATCAGCCCTTTGATTGCTGGCCAAGGTCGCCCAGTGGATATTGGTTGATGCATTGGTAACCTAGAGAGTGTTCAATTTTTAAGTGACGAAACGGAAGGGGCTGTGTGCATGGACTTGTGATCGATGTTCGTCAAGGGCGCTTGGGTGCTTTTGCGGCTTTCCAGCCTCGGTGCTGCTTTTTTTTGGGGTCGTCTGTTGCTCTATTTAGTGGGTGTCCACGAGGCATGAAGTGAAGGCAAACGGTGCCCTGCAAGTGGTTGAAAAGCTTGGAAGAAAAGTCGCGTTGTCGCTTGGCATGCCATCTGAAATAGGTGAAGGTATTGGTGCTTGACTTCAATTGCGCTAGTGTACGTGATGCCACATAAAGACCACCGATTTCTGTGTGGATCACTCATGCTCATGCGTGTTTTCCGCAAGAATGCAGTGATACTGCCCCGCGCTGCGTGTATTCAACTTTTGCAGTTCTAAACGAAGATGCAGCCGTTTGCCATCCATTCCCAAGCCCGCCAACTACGTTCAGACCGTTCCTGGCGGTGGTCGACCGGTCTGCAATAGAAAGACACGTCGTTCTTTGGCCCCCTCTCCGCCCTGCATATCTGCTTGTCAGGCTGTGTGTTAGAGGCCACTATTGCCTATGCCCCTCAGATATCCACACATTCCCTTGGGAACGGGCCACATTTTTCCACACACCGCTCGAGGCAACGGGCAGGCGTCGCGCAGCAAACCACCTGATGAGTATGCACAGCAAAGAACCTCCATATGTCCCTGTGCGTCATGCACACGAGCAAGAACCTCCATATGTCCCTACATCATGCACACTGACATCTGCTCTTGAGCAAGAACCTCCATATGTCCCTGTGCGTCATGCACACTGACATGGCATCTGCTCTTGAGCAGTTGTTGCAATTTTTGTCCCAAGGAGGTAGCCGATCAGGCCGCATTGAATAAACCATTGTGCGGGCCCCACCTGCCCGTTTTGCACCCATGACAAGCAGGAGTGATCAACGATGGAGCCTTATTCGGCATTCCCAAGGGAAGCCGCTGTGTCGATTTTGCAACGCTTAGCGTCAATTGACGCCAAGCTCAGCCCCCCCACCCCCCACCCCGCCCCCACCCTACCCGTCAATCCTCATGTCGAAGCCAGGATGACTCAGCATCATTACATAACGGTGTGGTACCAATTATTATGTTTTGAAGAAAGAAAAAAAGCCAAAACTGCAGCAATTTTAGTTGGCTGAAAACTGAGATGCCAAATGCCATAGCAAATGATGGGGGGGGGGGGCAGTTTTGAAGGCCGCCAATCGAGATTTTAGGGCGCCTTTTGTGAAGATTAAAAGACAAAGGGAAGTTTTGAGACAAGCCATACGTCTATTGCCGCTTTTCAGCAGCTTTTTGGGTACCTTCCAAGCTTATGTCGATTTTGTTGCAATTACATAATCTCTTAGCGTCACAGGCCCCCCCCTCGCCCCCAGCGTCAAATTGACGCTAAGCATAACAGTTTCGACATAGTGTCTTCCCAAAGGCCTCGTGGCAGTGATCAGTTTTGTGGTGCTCGCGATGCCGCAGAGAAGACCTACTGCACTGTTGACAGCAGCGCGTGACAATGTCAGCTTCGAGTGTCAATCATTCATGCTGTTTTCATGATGGGACTGCCTGTGCCTGTGCCTGCGTGCTGACATACGACAGGTGACATTACCTCGTTGGGGTACCACGCTAGGAGAGACAAGCCTTGTGTTTGGTTGGTCGCTATGTTAAGTAGCATCCAATCCTTCGTGCCTCGGCAGCCGCACAAAGCCGAACGACAAACGCTTAGAACACGCCAAAGCAGAACGGTGAGGGTTTAGAACACGCCATCCTTATACGCCGTCTTGCCAGTTCTTGGGAAAATTGTAAGTTGTCAATCATTCATACCTCGGCAACTACTTACACCACATGGACAGCGCCCAGCCGCTCCATCTTTTGCCCGTTCTTGGAAATGCTAGCATCCAACCAGGCGCCCCCTTGCCAACACCCACAGCCGCAACGCCAACGCCCCCGAGCCACCCCTACGGATCACCCCCTACTTACATTCCGGTGTCCCAATGGACGCCTCAGCGCAACAATTTTGTGCCCGTGCAGCACCGCTTGCCGGCAATCGCACAGTCAGCGTCCACACAGCAGCACAGTAAGTACCCCTTGGGCGGGATGCAGCGCAGCATGGGAATTGCTCTCCATCCCCCGCTCTGAGGATGTGCCCTTCCTCCCTGCGCACAGTTTAGGTGCAGGTGCACTTGAAGTCCGAGTTCCTCCTTCCCCACACAACGACCTCATCGGTAGACATGTCCCTGTCCTTTCTGAGGGTCACGCACCTGAGCGTCAAACAGCGTTCTGGCCGTCAGCAAAGGGCCACCGTATTCGCGGCCAATCAATACGCACATACCCCACACACATACGCCAGCCAGCCACGTGTTGTGTTGTTCTGATGTCTGGACCAATAAGCACAGTGGTATGGCAGGCCGCAGGAGATCCCTCTTCCATGAATTTATGAATGCATCTGTCAGCGCTGCTGGAAGGAACGTGCTAATGCTGTGGTATGGCAGGCCGCAGGAGATCCTTCATCCATGAATTTATGAATGCATCTGTCACGCTGCTGGAAGGAATGTGGCTGTGGTATGGCAGGCCGCAGGAGATCCTTCTCCATGAATTTATGAATGCATCTGTCACCGCTGCTGGAAGGAATGTGCCGGTGCTGTGGTATGGCAGGCCGCAGGAGATCCCTCTTGCATGAATTTATGAATGCATCTGTCAGCGCTGCTGGAAGGAATGTGGTAATGCTCGCAGCGATTTGTTCAAGTCGGCAGCCGATCTGCTGATGTGGCAAAGCGTTTGAAAATCACTAAATTTATGAGCATGCCAAAGCCTGGGTGATGCACGGCTGATTCGTCCTGTCGCATTGCCACTGGAAGTCAACGGCCCTATCAGAAAGGCAAGCAGATGAAAATTGTGCTGGGCATTCGACAAACACGCCGATCTCAAGAACAAGGTACATACCCGGCGCCACATGAACAGGTGCCCAGAAGCTTCTTGGCCCTGGAGCAGCATGTGTTTTCAGGCTCCACACACGGTGGGATCGCTATGCCCTCTCCCTCAGCAATGGCCTCCCCCAGGCCATTCACCTCAGCGGCGCTCTCAGTTTGAACGGAGACTTCAGAGCAATCGGTGAGCTCAGCAGCAGAAAAAGACTCAGCAGTAGCATCTCCACCTGGTCACAGCCATTCACAATTCAGCATCTGCATCTCCTTCCATATGACCTGTCTAGTGTCCTGTTCATCGGTACACAACGTTCTCCATTCACATGGAGCTGAAAGCAACATCGCTCAATCAACAACACGTCAACAGCGTCCGTATGTTTTTTCTATGAGAAGGTTTCCACAGCAAAGGTTGTGCGCATCAATTGCCAACCAGCGAAACGCTCTATGCACAACCAATCGCGCAATGGGAACTTTGGACGTAAGTAGCAAAATACCCATCGCCCTGCATTCTCTCTTTAATAAAAATGGCAGAAGATGGCTGTCGATTTGGTGCTGACTGGAAAAACCAAACTGCCCAGATTGCATTCCAACGTGCAGGAAGCAAGGGGATTCCTCCGAAAACTTACCTTCCACCATCGCATACACTTCAACCAGGGCGTCGGCAATCAGGCAGAGGTAACCCTCAGCCACAACCTTCTGGAATGACAAGGCTTCACCATCTGTGGCGCAGGCCTCGGCAAAAGCATTGGCGCTCACTAACAACGAGGCGGTCTTCACAGCTTCTGCCACCCCATCGGCTGTGGCTTGGTCCACACCCACCATAGCCGCGACAAGGCCCGATGCGACCGCCTGGGCTGTGACGGTGGCCTCGGCATCTCCACCAGATATAGCCGTGCCGCATGCTTCAGAGCCAGGGCCTGTGCCTGAAACCTCAACATTTGCGCTCACGACGACCTTGACATAGCCAGTGGCAATGGCATTCGCAGATACCACTACTTCAGCAGTTGCGTTGCTCTCGCCAGTTGCTACCCTCGTGATCGATTCGGAAACTGCCTTCGCAATTGAGTCACCTGCGGCTTGAGTCACCTGCAACACACTAACATCAGCACTGCATACCAAACATCACATTAGTTTGTCACAGCTGTTTGACAAAGCCATTCAACCACAGCGGACATCAAGAAATCGTTTTGTTCAATGCCCCATGCACACTGTTCTGCACAACTAAGGCTTATCTGTAGAAAGACAAAGGCGGTTGGCAGCGTTTAGGGACCTCAGCTAAGACCATCGTCTGCTGGGCAAACAGCCTTTGTTCTTATAACCCCCACATAGTACCATAACACTTGGCCTTTCTTGTGGAGGACAATAATAACCATAGTAAGCATAACGGTGTAAAAAACTGCCGAGCCGCTAATGAAGCAACACCCAGGCCATCTTCAAGAGCAGCTAGGTTTGCTGCAACCCGCAGTGCCGTTGGGTGCCCATGCTGCACCCAACAGCCATCTGGGAATCGCGATTAACGTTCGCCATAGTGCAGCGACCATGGTTCAGTGAGAACAGATAGCTGTGCGCCAGAGGATCGCTGCCTTGTCTTCCCAACCATCCTGCTGTGGTGCTGTGCGACTGCCGACGTCTATTAGCAGTTCTGGGTTTTCCATCGTGACGTTCTACTGAACTAACGCTTTGTGGCCCCCTGCTTGCGTCGCATGGCGCATGCACGTAGGAGGCTGTCGACTGGTCAGGTGCACTTGCCACTTGGCCAGCAACAATAGCGACGCTGCATTTTTTAAGCGGAAGGAGTCATACTCGACCAAGCAGCTCGGATCGACTATGCGGAGTTGGATTGAGCCCTCAGGCAGCTTGGATCAGACACATCCAATCGTTCACATTTAGCTCTTGACTTTTGGGACCCTGTCCTTTACTACCAAGCAATTGCGTTGATTCAGTCAGGGGGATATGTTGCAATGGCCAGTGAGCATGTACCATGCCTGCAACACGCAGTCGTTCTGATGACCAAATAGCTTTCCACCATCATATCCTACTTTTCTTTGCACTCATTGGTAGTGAAAGACACACAGGCAAGTCCCTGTCCTTTGGCCCAATGGGCGAAACAAACTCCCTGCACAAACGTGTGCGAGCGTTGCACTTCAACACCTTTGCAGACAACCATACCTTATCCTGTTGACCATAAGTGGATTTCATTTATGGGACCATTTAGGCACCTACGTATGGGCATTCGAGAACATGGCGATCATCACCGCATTTGGTGAACAAATGGATCGTCCATCCAGTTCGCAAACCAGTGCACACGAAAATAGCAGACAAGCCGTCCTGTCATAGCCAGATCCTGCCGAAAATGAACCAGGCCATCCCTGCAGGTCCCAGTCGACAAATGGATCGGCCCCCGACAATTTCAAGCCAGTTGACGACCTGCATTTGTTCTTACCTTAGCGTCGGCCCTCGACCTGCCGGATGACCGGCCCGCCTCCGTCTGCGTAGCCGACGAAGACGCTGTGGCTGTACCCTGCAGCAAAGAGCGATGCTCGCCTGCACAAAGAACGGAACACTGCTGAAACCACCCTCCGCTTATGTGAATCGAGCCCGAGGATTTCAGCCCGTGCCCCGTGCCGGCGAGCGAGCAACGGATCAGTCGTTTCAGCCGGCGATCGCCGGCGTCTGCCGATTCGCAGCAGACGGTCTGACGAGCGCTCAGACTGCGAGGGGGGAACTCACCCAGAGCCGTTGCCGCGGTGTGCTGCACGCACAGGTACGCCTGGACAGCACAACACGGGGCCGTCAGCCGACCCTGGGGAAGGGGCTTGCCACGTGCGCCGCGACGCTTACTAATCGCGGGCAGTCCCTTCCCCCTCGAGTCCCCGCGCGAGCTGCTGCGCCTCTCCGTTCGGCACGACCGGTTGCTCGCGCCGCGCTCCGGCCACAGCACGAGCTCCTTTGCGCATCCGGGCCCCGTCGCAGCGGCGCAACCCCCCCCGCAAAAAAAGCCAGGTTTGCAGCGCACCAAAAGGACCTTCCGGCGTCACGACAAGGCAGCCATGTGGGCGAATGGCGCCGGTCAAAGCCCCTGGAAAACACCGCCAGCCCCGCGGCCAGGGAATATTTCCATGGACGGGCCCCCTTCACCGCGGGCAGCCACGCGCGACCCAGCCGCGGCGTCGGGGCTCCATCGGCGGCGAGCGGCGCGGGAAGGATGCCCGGGCCGAGGGCGACGACGCAGCTCGCCCGAGGATGCCGCCGCTTTCTCGTGAAGATCCCCGCCACGGGACATTTCATGGCAATTCTCGCTGCTGGCCGTGGCGCAGGCACGAAGGCCGCGGCAGGGCGGGGAGGGGGGGGCCGCACCAGGATCGCTGCCGTCGCCAGCCGCGCAGCCGAAGTCATCTTGGCCGTCGACCCCTGCGCGCGCCAGGCAGGGCACCGCGCATCAGTCGCTGGGAGGGGAGCAGGCAGGGAAGGGGAGCGGGGGGGGAAATCAGCGGCCGCCGTTCGCCCCCGCGTTCCCCGCGCCCGGCGCGGGCTCCGCAGCAACGCGGTCTGCGGCTGCTGGGACAACTGAGGATCGACCGTCGACGATGGTGCCACAGGCGCCGCTCCCGCATGGTGCTGGCGGTCGGAACGGCGACTGATGTCCACGGCCGGCGGCACAGGGTGGATGAAGCGGTTCCCGGGGGTGCCGCGCGATCGGCTCACCTCGCTGCGCTGCGGGCGGCGTGCGGGCTGGCTTTTGCTTTTCGGGCGGCGTGCGGAGGGGGCCGGGGGGGCTGCCGAGGAATGCCGTGGAGTGCAGCAAAAGTGGGTGCGACCCCGCGTCGGCGTTTTAATACCACGGCGGCGCGGGCGCCCGCGCTGCGGGACGCCGGTCTGACAAAGAGTGAGACAATGGGGCGGTCCGCGTGGCCACGGGGCGTTACTGACTGGGCCTAAGAGGCGAAGTCTGCCCAGAACGCAGGGGGGAACATCGCGGTGATGATAGGTGAGGCGGGTGGCGCGGCCACGGGGGTGCGGCGTTGTCCGGGGTGCCCGAAGCGGTGCAGAAATGGGGGAGGGGCAGGCCGCTGATGGAAATCGAATTGGAACTCGAGGGCCAAAACGCGTGGCCTCCTCCCACCCCCCTTTCGCGCGCCCACAGCACCGACAGGCGTCATGGCGGGTCAGTCGCGCGACGGTCGGCGGGTCAGTCACCCGGCTGCTGGCGGGTCGGGCGGGCGGGGGGCGTCGGACGGCACCGGGAAGGGCGACGGTCGTACGAGGGCCTGGCGTGCCGTGTGGCGGGTGCGCGTGCTTCAATCAATCAGAAGCATTGGATATCGGGGCGGGATGCTGGCCCGCCGCTCCCTGTTCGCCCGCGGGCCGAGAACCACAGTCCATCATTCCCTTAATGAGAAGACAGGATATTGTTGCTGTCCAGCTGACGACGTCAGCTGACGAGTTTTACACGATTTAACACAACTTTTTATGCACCTGTTACACGGCTCACGATCTTCAAAACCTGCATTTTGGACCTTTTTTTGCTAGTGTCTGTACCTGCTGCCGCCCAGCAGCGTCGACGCCGTGGAGGACGTCATCCTTCTTCACTGCAGTTCTCAAAAGAGGCAGTTTCGTAGCTCGAACGATAAACCTTAAGGAGGCGGCCGGTGACTGCTTGGTGTTGCCGCTTGATCATGACCATCTGCTTGTAATTTTTGACCAGTGATCCACGATGGCAGGAATGAAAGAATCTTGATGTGAAGTGAGTGCTTCTCGCGTGGCAGAATCCGCGGCATTGAGAGCGGTTCCACTGGAGAGCTCTGCACATGCATCGGGCGGCAGCGCCACTGGGTGACTTACATGCATGCATATGCACTGGCGACATCTTTGTGTTTCTGCTGTAAATGGCTTGGTCGTGAATGTTCCCATCATTCAGAAAATACTCCAAATCAAGGCAAGGAGGCAGCCGCCAGCTCCCCATTTGTCCCAAAAAGGCAGTGCTCATGAATTGTTGGCAACGTAGATGCTCAAAGCTGAAACATGTACGCGGAGAACAATTCGTGAGCACTGCCTTTCTGTGGCAAATGGAACTTCCAACACAGGCAGCAATAGCTGGAAGCTCCCACAAAGCGTGCCATACACCGCATCCTCTAGTCACCAGTACATTACCCCGTTTAGCACGACTGGACAGAATCGTATTTCTTGCACAGAATCGTATTTCTTGGGCAGTTGACAACTTCCCAAAATGGCGGAAGCATTAGAAACAAAACTGTCCCAATGTGAACCATCAAATTTTAGCTTCTGCAGTACACTTACTTTCAGGTCCGCACTTTGGTATGTAAGGTGTAAGGCTCCGTTCTTACTCGGATCTCGAGATGCTCGCTGGTCAAATATAATAAGCTCGGGAAAGCACTAGCCTCATCCAATTCTTTGGTTCTCGTCTCATAATCGAAGAGTTGGGGTCCATTCCCAACCATCAATGAAGCCATTGGCGTCCTGGACCACTTCAGGTCGAGACCTGACCAGTCGATCGACTGGTCATGTCAATGATTCAAACCGCTGGGAGTCTGAAATCAAGCATGCAGTCGTTGTCTAAATATGCTTTTGAGATGCGTCGGGCATTTGGAAAAGTACTTATTGTAGTCAGGACATCCTCCAGAACTCTTGTCCCACCTGTCGGCAAGTCTCACGGCTAATCATGGTAGAAAAACATCTTGACGTCGAGTTCGATCAAAATGCATGAAATTCCAAAGCAGGCATGACACCTTCATGAAGATTTGCTTGGGCGCAGTGCAAAATTGTTTCCGTCACTACAGCGTGCTTTAGTTCGAGTGTGGACGTCTTTCCATTACCACAGGGCGCTGTTGTTCGTTCTTGTTTATTCAGCGTTCATCGAGCCCATTCGATTATCCACATACTCAGGATTCCTTCGAAGAGGATGCTGCAAGGTTCTGGTGCGAATTCCTTGTACTCAACTGCGGTTGCTTTTAAGTCCATTGCTGATAGCAGCTGGGACTAGTCCACAGTACTGTGCACTCCCCAGAACCCAATGAAACCGCATCACAGCCTTCACAGGTACTTTAAAGTAAGTGTTTTCAGACAGCCAGCACTTGAATATCCGGCAATGTAGCGAGTGTAGGAAGAGCTGCTGAAGGACGAGGAGGTGATGGCCACAAACCCAGGGCCGAAGAGGTCATGGAAGGGACGATTTTACCCCCAAAATAAAACAAGGTGCTATCAAGCTGCTTGACCGCTGCGCAGAGGTGCTGGCACTTCTGAGGCACAAACTCGACCGCGACTCTGGACGACAAAAATGCAGCCTCGTTGGAGTATAATTCCATGTGAGGGCGTTATTAATGTTATTATCATCATTTTAACGTTATTTCTTAACAAGAAAGAGCTTGGATATCTTGGTAGCAGCAAAGACAACACGGCGGCAAATAGCGAGCTGGCAAGATAACTCTGCCTCCGGTGAGGAGCAAACTGAGGTATTGACTGCTGAAAGCGAGGGATCAGAGCAAATGCCATTTAAGACGGCGAATTTTGCTCTGAGATCTGTCTCGGACACCGACAGTCAGGACGCCCAAAAACCAAGGACTAGGTGGCCACAAGTATGGAGTCGTCGCATACACGGGCGACGTGTAAGGAGTCGGACGTGTGTTGGGACATACACATGCTGGTGAACGATCGTTGAGAATTTTTGTGGGCACTGATTCTCAGGATTTCATTTTTTTCATTGATTCTCATGAGCTATCGTTAGAATGCGTATCATGCATTTAGCTTGCCGCTCTTTCTTCGAGCCCTCGATTGGTCAAGGCAACCTGAGCAAAGTTTTGAGAGTGGGCAGCGACATTTTGTCCCGGATGCCCAGGCTTTTACCTTTTCTGGGTGATATCAGGACTGAATTTCCGATGTTGAGGAGCAGCGCTGCTCGCTCGCATTGGAAACTGAGTTCTGGCCACAACCAGCCGGGATTTGAAGTTGCCCTGATCCTATCAGACCGCAGAGTGATGTCTCTTGGATACTGTGTTGCGCAGATCGCTTCTGTGGGTTGTTTGGTGCTTTGTTTCGTTTGCAGCGTCAGTTCAAATGGACAGACAAATCGCATGGCCTGTGATCATTCCTTATCTTCAGGCGGTCAACATGGTGGCAAATCAACGGATGGCCGACAGCTTGCAATGAGCCCAGGCTTGATAGAAGCCTTGGCCAGACGCTCCACTGCGGAGGAGATGTTGACACCATAGCCGCGAAGGCCAAGGCGGCCAAGACTGTACGACTTCGTCACGTTCCAATGCGAGGTGCTGATGGACGATCTCCGTTTGTTCAGCACGACCGGAGAACAATTGGAAGTCGTGCAAATTAGAACTGTTGTGCTAACAGTGAGCATCGATTCTGGAACGGAGGTATGTCGGCCTTGCCTCAGCCACCGCTAACGCTAGCGCCGCCTCCGGACAGGAACAATCTCTGCTGCCGAGCGCGTGAACCCCCTCAAGGGTGCATTCTTTCGCAGTGACTATCTTCAATCGCGTGTCCACGACGTGGAGGACCCTGATGCATTCTCAACTGGATGCGGCAATTGTCTAAATCCTCGAGGCCAGCTGCCCGTATGCAGCCAACCTGAAGTCGAGCACAGTCAGGGCAGGTGCACACTCTGTGCCAACCCTGCAAGCAAAAGGACACAGTCACTACTGGTCCCTTCTCCCCTCTCGGGAGCCACACAATCGGCTCAACACTGTAGGGAGAAAAGAAAGGTGCTGTCAACATTTCCTTTTTGTCACATAGCGATCACCACTGAGGGTACCCAGGTTCTGAAGCACGCACGCAGGTACCACAGATTCATGTGCACCTAGTATGCAGTGGGTGTCCACCTGGGACACTACAGCGCTGGGCCGTTGCCTACCTGACTTGTGGTGTGACCTGCGCGAGGCCACCAAGGGGCAATTGCTTTGATTCATCAGAAAATTCCTGATAATCTGAGTATACAACCTTGATGATCTGAGGCCCCATGCAGGTTGGTGACCAGCAGATTGATATGTATGCGGCTGTCAGTGTTGTAATTCAGAAAGTTCGGGTAATGAAAACTGCAAACAGTTAGTGCCCAGAAGGTCAGCGACGAAGAGCGTGCATTGGCAATGCACAAGCCGCAGTTTGGAAGCTCGTGAGTACAGCGAGGAGAGCCTCGCGCCACGATTCAGCCCTTTATTGTTACAGAGTAACACACTCAACACAATTTTTCTCGTTTTCTCGCTCAGAAACATTCAGCGTTCGGCCAAAAATTCACCTCACATTCTGGAAAGAATTTGCGCCCATGATGTCCGCTTGCTCAGAGGAGCAACCACCGGCACTCTTGAACAAACAAATCCCTGCGTGCTTTCCCTAGCACTGACAGTTCTCGATACGAAAGGTGTCCCTGACACCCAACAGATAGTCCCTAACGATGGACAACAAGGCCAAAGTGTGGCGCTGTGGGTGGTGGGGACCCTGGCACAGTCGGTGTGCACATCAACGCCTTCATGGAGTAAATGCACCCTGTCCTCAAGGTGACTGTGCTCCATCCTCAAGGTGTCCATCAGGCTTCCATGGCGGCACTGGTGTACAATGAACATCTTGATCAGCAACTCTTCACCTGTGGTTCTGTCGCAATAACTTTATTCAACAGCAGACCACTAAACCCACGGACACTCGTACTCCCATTTACAGTGGCACTTGTGTGAAGGAATGGGGCCTCCATTTCATGCAACAGGTCCCTGTCAATGAGTCGCATGTGCAATGGCAACGATCAGCTAAGGCCTCACCACTGCAGTTTAGTTGGATTTTTACAGTGGCACTCACCATTTGACAACAAAGCCCGCTACATTGCCCAGTGCAGAGTACGTGGCAGTTATCTCGTCCGCACTCCTCACCTCCCTCAATCACTCACGGCACAGCGACTGGTAGATTATCCTACCATGCCAGTCTGCAGTGCCTGCCAATACTGCTGCAGGATCCAACCAATACTCCCCGGAATACACCAGTTCGAAAAAACTCTGCATCCCCAGAGATAAACGCCTCTACACGCCAGACACTCTTTTGGAAGAGTATCACTCTGCATTTTTTGTTCCTCTGTACTTGAGGCCTGTATATTGTGGTTGTGCTGAGGGACACACATTTTGGCAGCAATGTGCTCAAGCTTCATATAATATACCCCGGATTGCCACTGTCAGTCCACCAGATGTTGCCCATTTGGCGAAGTGCATTGCTTTGTCATGAAACTGCAAATGCAATCAGTGACTAATGACGCAACACACCTGACAATGCACTTGCACTGATGGACGCCACTTCCCCCAGCATCGATCTCAGCCTTGCGATCTCCTTCTCGGCAACCATCAGCTGTTTTTGCACTGTATCGCCAGCCACTGTAGCTGTTGCTTGCACAGCACCATCCCTGTCTGCATGCTGCTGCACATCCCTCAGCTCCTGCACAGCTGCCACCAGCTTGCCCCTCTCTTCCTCCAGAGCACCCCTCAAGTTTGTGACCTCTTGTTGGATCTTCTCCACCTCACCCTGTGATACGCATATGCTGCAGACAGATTCCACCTTCAAATCCTGCAGGCACAAGAGAATGAAATTTGCTCCAGATCTTAGGCAAGTTCCATATTTCAGCAGTCTTGCACACATGCAGGAGACCTCTAGACTTTGATCTCCACAATGATAGATATTATGGCAGTGGGTTTTCAGGACATGCTGCAGGTAGACTTGTTTCCTACAAAATTGCAGGTTCAGCAGCTGTGCCACTTATGGACAGATGGGGAAGGCCAGAAAAACAGATGCTTCGCTATTCCTAGCATCACAGCATGCACAAGATTTCAGCAGCCTTGCGGGATCGCTTCTCGCTTTTCAGACACTGCAGTTACTCTCCCAGGGCGTGGATGTGCTTACCAAACCTGTTTCAACCAAAAACAGCGAATGCCATACAGAAAGCATCGCCCTCCCAAGCAAGAATTCCTGAAATTCGCATGCTGGACACATGTTCCAGCAAGAATGCACAAAAATAAAAGACAATATCCCTGTCAGTGGTTTGGCCAAGTGATTGTGGTGTTCATTACCCGCACTCCAGGCAGGCACATAGGTGACAAACGTTCCAGCACAGTGGCGGGATTTCTGCCCAGTGTACAATACATCGACTGTATAGTCCTCAAGTGTCAGCATTCTTATTCAATCCTCAGCACCAGCAACGAAATAAGGCTTACTGTGACTGAGGCAATGAGTGACAGGCTGTTTGCGATGTGCCTTCGGAATGTGTCTTGGATCAATTTCGATTCCGCTGCCATCCAGTTGCCAAAGGCGTCTTTCTGTTTGGAGTCCTTTTCATGGGCCTGATGCAGTGCTTTTGCCACCTCAACAACTTCAGACTCTCTGCCAGCCAGCATTCTTGCCTTGGCAGCCTGTATGCAACAATGCAAGCACAATCTGAGCAGAAAAATCAACAGTCAACGACATGGCCTGTGCTGTAGCCATCTTTTGTGGGTCGCCCGGTGCTGCGGCCTATCATAGAAATTGTGGCTGTCCATTCCAGTATGGTGTTCCGAGCAGCAAGGCAAATAAGCCATTTCCCGTTCTGCTGAACAAGATTCTGTGCAATTCTGATGTGCAATGTAAGCATCATTTTGGCAGCCACAGGTGTCAAGGGCTGCAAACGAAGTCTCACACTGTTTCCATCACAACAGAAAATGCATCTTTCTTGCTGGTACTCCCATCGTCCACAAGGCCACAAGAAAATGGCTGTCAGATTTGAACATTTCGAAACAATCCATCTGCTGCACTCGGCTATACAAGCTATTCATGCACGTACCATCCACAAGCTTCAATTTTGCCTTTGTGTTAGTGTTCTGTTTGTTTGGGCCCAAGAGTTCTGAGCCATGGAACTGGGTGTATTCTCTTGGGTTGCTATTTCTTTGGGACACCCACCCTCCATACTACGAACACCCTCAAACAGGAAACCTACACAGTTTACATGGATCTTCCCTGTCCATGAACTGTGTGCATGAGCCACCCCCGAGAGGTCCTGTTTGGGTATTGTGAATTTAAATGTTGGTAAGCAAACCCCACATTCCGAGCTCCCAAGAATGTGCCCACGGATCTCTGTTCAGACAACAGTTGCCTGTGGCTGGGAAAGACTGTGCACACCTTCCAACAGTCCATGTAAGGATTGGCTTGTGGCCTCTTACTTTTCACCAGCTTCAATGCAGGTGTCAAATGCATGCCCTGAAGCAAAACAACAACAACACTGAATTCACATCAATGATATTATTCCCGGCAAAACTAAGCACTTTTATCCTCCAGTTCTGCTTGGCCAACCTGCCAAGAATGCAAGATTGAAGACAGCTGAAATGCACAGCAGGCTTGCACAAAGACTGGGGCAACAGAAGTTCAGGCAGGTCTGGGCACTGCTGCAAGACTATATGAGCCAGCCACTTCTTGCCGGAGTCTACCAATTCGGATTACCACTGTTTGGTTGGCCTTGGGAACTTGTATTTCATCACATGGCCAAGGCAGGATGCAGCATAAATGACAACCATCCAAGAGTTCCCCAGAATCAAAATCTGCGTCTCAGCAACTGCTTGTGACTTGTTGGACTCGATGTGCCAGTGCAGTGTTTCAACTCAACTAGTGCACGGACCATCATGCAAGAGGAGCAGGATACAATATTGCATGCATTTTGTGGATTGCAAGCAAACTCCATTGTCTGCTTTCCACTGAAGAGCGCAGCAATAAACTTACCTGCACAAATGTCAAGTATCCCAGCACTGTGAGTGAGGCTCGATTGATGCCTGCAGTGCAATGGACGTACACCTTGCCACCAAAGGCGAGGAGCACTGCAAGTGTACGCACTGCCTCTGGCAGCATCAGGGACTGGTCCCCATGGTCGAAGTCCCTGGTGGGCACCCTAGCCATCAGCACACCCCTGGCGACGCCATGCTGCCGGATATCTTCCCAGTCGATCTTCAGGGCCTCCAGGCACAGGTCAGACTGCCAGACAAAACAACAGGGTTAAATTCCTTGGGCCACTCTTGCCTTCCCAAGATAATAAGGGGCCCTTATAACTTGTCATGAAGAGAGCACTTGGGAAACAGCAGGGTCTGATGAATGTGCTACAACTTCGAGTGCATTGTCATCACTTGATGAAGTGTTGCCCTTGTGTGCTCGTGTGTTCCTGTTGTTGTTGGCTACCAGATTGCATGGAGACAGGACTAGAGAGTACTATATTTAACCCATGCTTGTAGTTTGCCAAAGCCATCCACAATATCAAAACCGATCCTGTCAATGGGGTGCACTCTGTTCACTGCACCACAGGATCCTTTCTGCACTTTTCCTTGGACTCCCACGGGCATCCCTCCATGGAGTTGACAATGGGAATTCCACCGGCCGCGGCCCCCTGCCCAACTTGCCGAGGCCCCTAAATAAAAAATGTTCAGGTTACTACAGGCCCTGCCTTACTGCCTCAAAATAGCTTTCTTGTCATGATTGGCAGTAAATGCATGCGGGTGCATGGCTTCCAACACATTTACCACTGCTAGACCATCAACCTGTTTGAAGCACGGTGCAAGGTTGGTCCCGGTTGAACATAATATCAGGGGCCCAGTACCAGGGTATTGGCTGGTATGTGCTTTGGAGTTCTACTCAGATACTGTGTTCCCTGTTAGACCTGTAAAAACCAACTGTGTGACGGTTCACACGCTGGAGCTGTCGCTCCAGCATTGGTGCCTCCCTTCGATTGGGGCATTCTGCAATGATTCTTGCCTTTAGCGCATCCTTTCTTCCATGCAGAATTTACACCATGAGAACCAACAGAAGGAAACATGACACCCATCACCAGAGACAGTCACAAGGGCTGGAAGGTTCCTCTTCGGCTGCCGCAGCAAGAATCTGGCTCTTGCAATGGCTCTGTTCGCCTTACAAGGACAGCATGACTTGTGGGGAGCCCAGCCAGGTAGCAACGCCTCCATGGTGGGCATCCAGGAACTTACATGCCGATGTGATGCAATCAGTTTGCATGCAACATCATGTGTCCTTGCATTGCTGTTATTGCTCCAAAACTGTCCACACTCTCCGACACCATCCCTGATTTGTACCAGCGTTACCCACGTGAACCAACACAAAGGGTAGAAACCAACAGTCAAGGGCCGAAGTGTGAGTCTATACCTGCACACTTAGCACTGCTGAGACCCCTGCCTCGTCGATCATCCGATCCTGTGCAGAGACCAGGACGAGGTGTTAGACGTGCCATTCCCTGGATTGCAGCTTTCGAAAAACCTACAAATGCGTTGGCCGAAAGGTGAGAAAACACAACTCTTGTGCCTGGGAGGCAATGCAATCAGCCAACAGAATGCCCAAGATCTGATCGCCATGAAAGCCAAAAGTCCACACGCCAAAGTCCATTGTGGTTCGTCAACAGCGCACGAATTTCCAGGCCCTCGCGCACTGCGCGAGCGCCAACGAGCGCAGCTTCATCTAACGAGTGACTGTTTGGTCGCCCCTTGATCCTGCGTTTGCAACCCAAGGCACCAGGCACCCACGCGGCTCTTCTGCGCCTTTCAGACCGCGCCGCTGCGGCGAAAGACCCTTCCGGAGAATCCTAAAGCTCTGCTTCCAATCCAGTGGGCTTGATCACAGGCCAATCACTCCGAGCAGCAACTTTAAACCAGCCGCGGCCTCAACCGGCAGGACTGGAATCACGCTCGCTCCAACCGCCGGCGCAGGAACGCCATGACTGCCAAAAGAAAGAAAAAGAATAGACAAGGAACCGCTTTTGCAATTGCCGTCGCTGGGCGGGTCGCCCTTCCCTCACCAGATCATCGCGGCTGCGAGGGCACGACCCGACGACTATGTCCTCCGTGACCTCATCCCAGTTCAGTGTCCACCTCCTGCGAGCCACACAGCCGCCCCTGCGCCGCTCAACCCCGGAGATCGCCGCACAGGCCCCACGCGCCGATCACTCACGGGCGGCCCCGATGCGCCGATTGATCAATTGCGCCAATCCCCGTCGCCCACCACTCGTCCTGGGTGCCCTCTTTTGCGCCGCCAGACTCCTCCCACCGCCGCCTGTTGGCCTCGCCCTCCGCATCGGACACGGCCTGCGTGCCCGTGGCGCATGGCACCGAAACGCTCAGCCTGGCAGCGCGGCCATGATGTCGGGCGCGGACGTATTTGCCGTTCGGGCGACAGCGCGATTGGCCGTTGGGGGACCCGGCCAAAGGGGTGAGTCGACGCCCCGGCGGGAGGGCCGCGGGGCGCATGGTGGGCGACCGACGGCCGGCGACGGTCGTTGGGCGCCGGGGGGCCTCGCTGCCGCTGGGGAGGGCCGGCTGCGGGCTACAGAGTGGGTCGCCTCTTGGGCGGGGTTCGGAGTGGCGGAAATACGGAAAATATGGGAATAATAAATTGGGGGGAATGTAAAAAAATACCAAAAAAAGGGGAAGCATAGGAGATTGGAAAATACGAGAAATACGACAAACTGGGAAATTGGGAAATTGACAAAGGGACAGTGTTGGCCCGTGGCCAGAAAATGATGCTCGTGACGCATCGGGATGGTAAAAAGCCATCCGCAGATGTTGGGCGGTGCGATTGGGGAGCGTTTGATGCAAGTGTGGTTGCCTGCAGTTGTAGCGGAAAACTGAATGAGAGACATCCACAGCCGTCTCCCAGAGGGCAGTTCGCGCTTATCTGTATTCGCGTTGGCACGGGGACGCAACACTCGAGGTCCGGAACTTGCAGTGTAATACCTCTGCAATTTGTAAGAAGGGAAGGTACAGTCAAATTTCTGCACGGGCGAGCGTCATCGCTGTCTAGTTGCAATGGCTCCACTTTGCCCTGACAATGAAAAGGCTGTCAAAATGGAACGCAATTCAGCTCATTTCGAGAAATTTACATGTCAGAAAGAAAAAGGCCCTACAAAGAAGCATTAAAACGAAGGACCGGGGACTGGCCACAGATGGGCACGGCAGAGCGATGAACAGAAACTGCGCTCGACAACCAAAGGAACTTCTCTCGCGTGCAACGCAGCCTGCTGTACACAACGACCACACGCCCCTCCACCCCGCCCCGCTGCTTTGTATTCTGCATTCAGATAGACAATTTCTTCTGATCCATTCGAACCATCGCTTCAATTGCGCCCCCGCCGTTTCTGTGCTTCGGTTCGCGTCCCCTGATGATGGGCAGGCGCGCACCCTGCAGCCTCTGCCACTGAGCCTGAAACACTTTGTACTCTTCGAACAGAGCGCCCACCAGTTCCTCCGCAAAGGTGTCATCGTCACACTGCAGAATATCCTGCGCAGCAGCAAGTACCGGTGGGCTCAACACGCCGTTGCCTTGCAAACCGCCGTTATCTGTGTTTGGTAAAATACCTCGGTGCGGTGCCCTTTCAAAATTGAATCAATCAAAAATCAGCGCTTGGTCGCTTTTCTTAAAGGCGGGTGACGTCAGCATCCACAAATGGCCTTTTCCGAAATACCTTTACTGCATTCCTCATCGATGTGGTATGCTCGATGCACCGATGCAATAAGGCTGTGACATGTACATCTCAGTTTTTCCACGTTGCTACTTCACCACTCCGTACCTGAGTCTGACAGCCCACAGCCTTGTCGAAGGGTGACAAAAGTGTGGGGGCAAAGACTCAGAGAAGTCCATGGTGTGTGGAACTTTCACCATATGCTGACAAGCGATGTGTTGTCAAGGATGTGAGAACCTTGTTGCCAATGTATTGGACTGCCAGATGGGGAATGGGTCATGTTGCAAGCAGTGGAAAGATGCAAAGAACGACGATGAGGGGCTGTGCATCCTTCAGAAGGGCTGTGCCGCACTGCGTTGATGTTGAGGTGTAGACCAGGACTGACAGTCTGGCGTGAGCATCCCTAAGGGGATGGTGGCTCGCGGGCAGTCAAGCAGTTCGTCAGAACAGAGCTGTGCACAGTGCGCTCATAAGAATTGCTGCTGAGCTGCATGTGGGCCAAATAGCACGACCAATGTGGGGGTCTGCCTTCCACACCCAGAATTCCAGCAGACATATGTGTGCATTGCATGATGCATATAGAAGACCAGCAAAACAAACCATCCTCTGAAGACGCCACCCCATCAAATACAAATTAAGACCTTCATCGCCCAGTCGCACCCTGGTAGGCGCTGTCGCTGATGTGCATACGGGTGGTGTCCAATATGCAATAACCGCTGAGAGACGGTGCAGATCACTCACCTGCAGACCCAGGGAATCCACAGCTGGCTTTTCCATTCGCCGCGAAAGGAACATGAACCTGGGGCCGATTCTCCTGGATAATGAATAGTAGTAGTACGCAGGGAATGACATGACGTCGCTGATGGGCCGTTTCACAACATGCATGAGAAAGTGTGTCTTTGACTGGATGGTTGCATACCTGGGCACACCAAGACAAAATAGTGTCATGCCCATGCACTGCTTCTGTGGAGTGAGGATCACCAGCTGCTTCCCTCGACCACACATCACACACACCAGCAAAGAAGGAACAGAAAGTAGTCACTTTCTGTTCCTGCGCTATTTATGGGTGCTGTACCTGCACAACAGCAGCTTGGGATCCTTCGACAGCAAGGCACCCAACTCAACCTTGCTGAGCCCACCCTCAAGGAAGTGCTTGACGATGGCCTCCATCGTCCCAACAGTCTTGACCAGGATCCGTGGCTCTTTTTGGATCATCGCACGGACCTGGGCTTCTTCTACGCCACCTGGGGCCAGGGCCTTGCAGACTGCCTGTGGGTAAGGTAGTCGACGATCCAGATCAGCAACGCTGCCATCAATCGAATAAGTGCTGTGTCAGGGCTGGCTGTACGCTTTGGTTGTTTTCGAAATGCAAAGATTCAAGCATGGCCCAAGCAATTGTCACAAGAGGAGAGTGCCAAGGAACGTGCAGCTGCCTGGGAGGGGCTGCCATTGTATGGCACGTTCCGAAGCTGTAGCAAAGTTCAACTCCAAATGCGGACAAGACAAGGGCGATTTTTTTGTGCACAAGACATTGCGGAAGGAAAGTCTCTGGGAGCGAAAGCTCACAGCACGTGTTTTGATCACCTGTCAGCTGTGTTCTTGGAAATGTTGTTGAGGAGATGGCAGGTGTTCTTTTGTTGTGCAAGTATTTGGCAAATACATTGATGGCATGCGACCTCCACACAGGCACAAGACTACCAAACAGCCCGGTCTGACAGCATTGGCCCACTGTTGCATGGTGTGTTAAGTGTGCCCATGTCCACGTGGGAAGTGGATTTGTCCGAGTGGTCTGTGAATTTGGACTCAGTCGTGTGCAATTCCCTGGAGCAAGGCTCCCGCGACGCAGCATGCTTCCCTCTCCGCCGCAAGGGGCCCGCTCACCTCGAACGCCTGCCTCGGGTGGTTGAGAAGGCTGGGGTGCTTGGCCACCAGCGGCACCAGGTCGTCCTCCTTGACGATCAGGTCCGCCAGCGCGTAGCTGTTGTCCCTCAGGTCCTCGATCCGGATGCACAGAAGCGGCGGGAAGGCGGCCACGGTGTGCCTCACCTGGTCCTCGTGCACACCCAGTCGTCGCAGCACCTCCACCACCTTGGCGATCGTCCGCCAGTCGCCCTGCAGCATCACCTCCGGGTGCCCTGCCAGCACCTTGCCTAATGCCCGCCCCTTGATCTTCAGTCCCTCCAGCAGGCCGATCAACGGCGACAGGTCCTTCACATCCGCGTCCAGCAGCTCAGGGCAGCGGCTCACGATGCCCCTCAAATCCTTCACTGCCACGCCGCGCCCAGCCAGGAACAGGAGTGACGCCTCTGCGTGACGCTCGTTGAAGTCGCCCGGGTGTAACGCCCGGCGCCCCTCGCGCTGGCTGCCCACGTCACGCCACCAGTCGATCGCCCTGCGGACCATGTCCGCCGCGTCGCCCGGATTGATGCCTAGGGACGACTGCAGGAAGCGCAGGAGCTCGGGCCTGATGCCGGTTGGCCTGTCGGCATCCCCGCGGGGGTCAATGACCAGTGCCTTTCTGCTTACCGACTTGGGCGCCGCCGACTGCGCGCCCGCCGCTGTGGGACTGGCGCTTGCGGGACGCTCTTCCGTGCATGGAACTTCGGGGGGGCCTTTTGGCGCGCCGCTGGCGGTGAAAGTGTCATTATTTGCGCCCCGCTTCTTCGACTTTCTGCTGACCCTCGTGCGCCGGCGCTGGCCGTCGGTTGCCGGCGAATCCCCGGAGCTCGCACCGATAGAGATCCATCGCGAGCTCCCGACCCGTGCAAAGCCCTCCCGGCGATGTCCGCCCTGCGCAAGCCCATTTCCACCCGCAGCCCCTTGAATACAGCCGGTGAGCATCGCGTCCCCAATCCCCCCCCAGATTGTTCCCTGGCTCCGCTGCCTCCTCGCCGCGCCCCAAGCCCTCCTTCGAAGGGCGCCCGCCGGCGCTCTCGTGCGGGTCCCCGCCCTCCTGCCCTTTGCGACGGTGAACAACTCCCCTCGACAACCGGCCTCTCCCGCGGCTCCTGCAGCCCGTCGTAATGGCCCCGCCGCGCAATCCATCCCCAGGCCCGGACACGCGCGAGCACAATTTGCTCCGGCCACGCGCGAGCAATTTTGCCGCTCTCGGCAGGAAGCCGCGGCCCCGCGCTCTGCCCTCAGCGGGGTGACTCCAAACGCGTGCCACACGCTCGACCAGGACCACAGGGACCGCCCGCCCGGGGCCCCTGGGCCCACGGCCTGTTGGGACCCCTCGCAACGACTGTTTCTGTACTTTTCGCTCAACCGAAAGTAACAACCTGGCGCCCAGCGCGCCCAATCTACTGGAGCTGGCGTCGTTGTTGGGGCCAATCGACTGGCCGTGAGCGAGGGGGGCATGCAACCTTGACGCGCCTCAGCGCGACGCGCCTGGCGTGTTGCCAATGAGGGGCCTCGCGCGGTGTGCGGGGCGCCCCTCCGGACGCCTCAGAGGCACACACATGCATAGACAGGGACGCCAAAGCGGCCCGTTGCGAAGATACAGCACCCCGCCTTGCGGAATGCCTGCCAATGGGCCCCGTCCGCTTTGCGACAGAGCCCGCTGTCGAGTGCCAGCGCCAGGGCGCGGCGGTCGCGGCGGAGCACGCGCGAGCGGGAGGAGCCGAGGATCGCGGCTGCGTCCTTGCTGCTGTGGCGCAGGCCCGAGCGGCACCAGGAGGGGCGTGTTGATGGGGATTGGCGCGGGAGTCGCGGCGGTGACGCTGCTGCACGCCCCCGCCCGAGCCGGAGGCGAGTGGGGCGGAGCGGGGTGGGCTCGCCGAGCCGAGGCGCGGGAGAACAGTCTGCGATCGGGAAGAAAGCGCTACGCGGCGCTCGGTTTTGCATCCCGGCATGGTGGACGTGGGATTGCGCAATGGCTCTCCGTTGTCCGCGGAGTCCCAATTTGCTTTTAGAAAAGCTTGCAAGCTCTGCGGTGGGCGTGGGCCTTCTGAATGGAAAGTGAAAACAATTTTGAGGCTGGGGATGCAGGGTTCTCAGCAACGAGAATAGCCAGCAACAGGGATGAAAATGGTGGGTTGGGTTTGGAGGCAGCGAGACCGATGTGGGCTCAACAGGCTGACCGGGGCCCCTTTTTCTCATGTCTAAAGACAGCGAGGACTTTGTGCGTCGGCTGGAGTCGGCCGTAACCGAGTTCACACTTCCCAGTGGCCTCCGTTTCCTTGTCCTGGAAAGGCACATTGCGCCAGTCGTCAGCTGCCACACCTATATGAATGTGGGGGCCTTTGATGAAGAAGATGGCAAGACAGGTGTGGAATAAATGGTTGCCAACCTACTTGGATCGGTTGCTCTCAGCTGAGAAGAAGATGCATTCCCTTGCATTTTCACTGCCAACTTGTCGCTCTTGTGAGCACCATGAAGCGTTATGTGAAGTGTTATCAAGAGAATCGGGGTTGCCTCAATGCTTCAACAATGACATCAGTCTGTGTCATGGGGCTTTGGCCCATCCTTCAAAACTGCCTCCTCAATGCCAGCCTGCCACCTTTGTGAGCCATCACAAAATTCGCATCCCTTGTGGCATACAGCCAACGAAGGAAAGTAGGGAACACAGCTGATGATGCACACGCCCATGTGCCAAGAACCGCCTTGAGCAACCCATCTGGCCATGACTGATGTTTTCATGGCGAACTTCCAATCGCGCATGCCATTCAGTGCTAGTTAAATTGAAAATGTGTATGTTTGGATCAATTGTGTATTTTTTTCAACAAAAAGCAGCATCGGTGCATAACAAAGAACAGAACATTTCAAGGAAGGATGAGCTCTTGAGCAGTGCAGGATAGGGAAGCATGGCAGTTGTGCACCTTGGGCTTTTGGCAATGTGCATTTGAGAAACATCTGTCATCCAGGGACTGATGTCCGTTGTCATAAACGGGCAAAACTTCCACTTTCAAGGTGACTACAGGCACATTTTGCAGGTGTCCAAATGTAAGCGATGGCGTGTGACCACAAGACCATGGATACCATAGCACCAAGCATTCTTGGCCAGAAAGGTCTGCCTATTGCATTTCGTGCTTCTTTCTGTGGTAAGCCTCAAGGGCTCTAAGCCATTAAAAAAATATCATGCACAGTCAAACAAGGCTGGAGGAGTGCCCAAGTTCAACTGTTGGGTCACAGGTCAAGTGGTGTCTGTGTGGTGCACCAGGAATAGCTCACCTCCTTGAACACCTTCTCTTCAAGGGCTCGGAGACGATTGGCTCCCTTGACTACAGCAAAGAGTCAGCGATCCTGGACAAAATGGATGAAGGTAGTGGCTGCCTGTACGGAGAATTGCAGGTGCTCTGATAGTGTGCTTTTGAACTCAAGAATCACGATATTGTCAGTCCATCCCCAGCTTCCACAGTCGCCAAATTCATCCATTGGCAGCGATGTCTCATATGCCCAATGTACATTGCAGTTGTATGGGGCCTGGATGGGTGCGACAAGTCCCCATATGTCGATAACATGCCAGCCTGCTGAATGTACCCAACCGCCAAACAATGGCCACCCTGTGGAATGTCATATGTGAGTCCAGATGTTCACATCATGACAACAGCTACTGCCATTGCAAGTCCCCATTTTCCCCAGCAGAAGTGCTGACCACATCTTCACAACACAGCAGTGGCGACCAACCAACGTGGGGTTTTGGGACTCGTGCCGTCTCTGTGCGGACTCCACACAGTATGTTTGCTGCCCAGTTTCATTGTTCCGTCTCTTAGCTGGCTTGTACATACCATTGTTTGCACCCTCTTCTACTTTTCCTCACAGTGGTTGCTGTGAATGGCTTTTCCGGCATTTGAATTGTTGCAACCTGAGCAACCGTCCGTTTCTGATATGTACCCTTGTGACAAATTTATGGTGATCATCACTACCATATAACATGCCAGGTGGGCTGTCAGTGGTGTTAAGATCTTTGGGACAACTCATGTTCAATACATGCTGTCACCACAAGTTAATGAGCATTGTCGTGCATGATAGGTGGCAGCGGATAAGCTGGTGGTGCCAAATGCTTTTGGGTCACTTCTGGAGAGAGAGGTGGCCACCCCCAGATGCTCAATGCCAACGCACTTGCCTTGCTTTTACTGAGTTTTTCATTTGCGGACAACAAACTGCAGACGCTTCTGCGTCTGCTTGTCATATGCCAACTCAGCACATTCATGCATTGTATTGTTAGCATGGCATTAAGAGATTTTGGAGTGCAGTGGCCTATCACTAGTTTGTGCCAGGTCATCCAGCCTACATCTAGGGGCCGTTGTCTGATATCTGAGAATAAACATCCTGTGGGCAAACTATACATGCGAAAGCAAACTGGAATGGAAAAATTGTGTCTGATGTTGTTCTACTGCTGGAGGCTGTTGTGAGCAGATTTTGCCACACCAGTACTGTTGGAGCAGCGTCAATGTTGACATACTTGGGCATCCACCAAAGAATTTCCTTTTTTAATGGAATGTTCGTGCTGCTAAGGGGGCTGTTGGCGTGAATGCCAGCACTGATCACGATGCCACGAATTTCTACACTGCTCTGCCTGCCAACAAGCTTGAGCTGTGGTTTGCATTGGAGTCAGCCCGTCTGCAGGTGTGAGTACTGGCATGAGTGCTGCGCATCGTCCGTCTTGCCATCGCTTGGTGTAAATAGGATGGCTAAGCTTGGCTGCCCTGTATCCACTCAACCACTCAACTGTATTCTTGTTGAGTTGCGAATTTGCCTACCTATGGCAAATATGGGCCATAAATGGCGCAATACTGTCCGCAGCCTGCTCACACTTTGATTGTCTTGCAGTGTTTTTCCCAGTATGCTTCCAGTCAACTTGTGTTTCCTCTTGCCCTCTGAAACATCCACACAATATATGCAAATGGAGAAGAATCGCAACGGTTGTATTCAAGAGGGTGGGACGGGTGCTCGCACAGGAGCACGCCTGTTGAAGCGCAGCCATCTTTCACCCTTTGTAAGTCGCTGCTGCAAGGCATCTGTATTGGCCCCGTTGGGCTGCTTCCTCCACCATGCTGGGAACACAGACTCATTAGAAACTCTTTCTGACTTGCTAGACAGACATCCTGGAAAAACAAAGGGTTGAAATGCACCCATCATCTGTAAAAGCTGGAGGTGGTGCTTCATCACCTTCTGCGAAATGTACTATATTAGTTATATCAACATATATCAATACTGATACATATTACAATGTATCAATATGATGTGCAGACATGCATATGTATTGGTTAAATAAATGAATAAACAGAATGTAATTATGCTCAAATTCCTGCAATTAGGTTGAGTAATGGTGAGTAGAAGTTGTAGTTGTCCCGACTGCTCAACTGCAGGAGCGTTTGCCCCCTGCAGACCCCTGTGTTCCGCCAGCTGTATAGTGAGAAGAGAGTGGTCTCAGAGGAGCGGCAACTGCGTGTGGAGAGCACCCCTTTTGGGAAATACCAGGAGCAATTCAATCTGGCAGCACTTGCAAACAATTACAGAAGGCAAGTCAGATGTGACCAGAGTTGAGAAATGCGATGTGCAAAGTTGGGAAAAGAGTTTCTTTTTTTCATCACACTACACCATTCGCTCACGTACTTGAAATACAATTTTGAAAATTGTCGCAAGCCAGTTCAGCGCAACTCAGGTCTCTGCTCAGCTCTGGGCAGTTGTGGGATTGGTGTTTGCCATGCAGCAACTGGGGGAGTGAGCTCCCAAAGATGTGTCTCTTTTCCCCAGAGCTGTCGACTGCAGCATGGAAGAGCAGCATGCAGCCACCAGCAGTGCATAGCACTTGTCTCGTCGGTGCAGTGCACGACTTTGTTAGTTAATTCAAAGCATTTGTGTGCATGAATTGCCATCTTCCCACAAGTTCAGAAAAGCACAAAGCCATGCCCTCGTGACGCAGGGCTGCTGCAGCTTCCATTAGATACAAAGCAAAGGACAATCTTTCTGCTGTCGACATCCATGAAGCCGAGCACCAGCGGCACATGTGCCTGATAGGGATTGAAGGATACTGTCCCTTTCAAGCAGAATCCATGCCCCTGATGATATTACCACCAGTGCTTGCTGTCTGTCTGTGG